CACAGTGGCCCAGGGCAGGGCCTCTTGCATTTTTTATTTTGAAATATTTCATTGGACTCAGAGAGAGGAAGGGAAGAGGGGGAGAGGGGAGATAGAAATAGAAACATCAGTGATGCACGAGAATCATCTAATCGGCTGCCTCCTGCGCACCCCCTACTGGGGATTGAGCCTGCAACCTGGACATGTGCCCTGATTGGGAATCCAACTGTAATTGCCTGGTTCATAGGTGAATGTTCAACCACTGAGCCACACTGGGTGGGCTTAAAAGTAATATGTCTGGGATTCCTACCCATAGTTTACTATCTAATCTAAAAGGAGTATAGTCACAAAACTGTGAAAAGGAAGTTGAAGTGTTTAAATGAGTAAAAGGCATATTTGGGAAGCAAAAACCAAATTCTGGCCAAGCTGGTGTGGCTCAGTTGGTTGATCGAACTTCCATGCACAGGAAGTCACTGGTTCAATTCCTGGACAGGGAACCTGCCTGGGTTTCAGGCTGGATCCCCGGTGGGGGGTGTGCAGAAGGCAGCCAATGGATGTTTCTCTCTCATCAATGTTTCTGTCTCTCTCTCTCCCTCTCCCTCCTCTCTCTGAAATAAAAAAAACATTAAAAAAAGAGTGAAAACAAATTCTGTTTTAACTACTAGTAACAATTAGTGTGTATATCATTTTCAAGCATTCTGACAAGAACTGAAAAGATTGCAAATCTTCTAAAGGTGAGAATGAAGGGCTTTGGTAATTTTTTTTAGAAGGAGGCCTTAGAACTAAGTTCTGCATTAGCTCTATAAAGAAGAATTTATGCCTTTAAAATTGGAAATTCCATACGGACCTTTAGAAAAGTAGGGACTGAATTGGTTTCTCATTTTTGAAGATCAGTTCTGCTTCGAAATGGTCCAGCTGAATTCGTAAATAATTTTTTCTTTAAAGAGCACATGGTGGGTGGCGTTGATGTGTTTTGTGGAATTGATTTATTTCCTTTCTCTCCCAGAAAGCACTAGTTGGGGACAGTGCAGTGAGGCCCTTCCAGGGCACTGCAGCAGCCTATGCACCAGTGTCACATTATCGGACTGTTAAAGGTGTAGACTCAAGTGAAGAGAGCTTTTCTGATTCAGATGATGATACCTCTCTTTGGAAACGCAAGCGACAGAAGTGTTTCAACCCCCCTCCCAAACTAGAGCCTTTTGCATTCGGCCAGGGCAGCCAGAAGCCGCCTTTTGCTGGAGGGAAGAAGGTTAACAACATCTGGGGTGCTGTGCTGCAGGAGCAGAATCAAGATTCGGTGGCCAACGAACTTGGTATCTTGGAAATGGAAGGCACTATTGACAAAAGCAGACAATGCGAGGCCTACAATTATTTGCTTGCTAAGAAACTTAGGAGGGAGTCTCAAGAACAGACAACAGAATTAGACAAAGAGCTAGATGAATATATGCAAGATGGCAAGAAAACAGGCTCAAAGGAAGAGGAAAACGGGCAAGGTCATCTCAAACGGAAACGACCTGTCAAAGACCGACTAGGGGACAGACTGGAAATGAACTATAAAGGCCGGTATGAGATCACAGAGGAGGATTCTCAGGAGAGAGTGGCTGATGAAATTACTTTCAGGTGAGCATTTAAAATTTTCATACAAATGAGCTCTTGACCAACTATCTTCCATTTATAGGAAATAAAGTAGATTCCAAATACATTACTGATAATGTTCCCTTTTCAGATTTTTTTTTTTTAATTTAAGGAACGAACTCTGGGCTTATTTGGTTGTGTGAATATATTTGTATTTTCTTAAATTTGGACAGATTGATAGAATAATTTTGCAAACTTTTATGAACTCATAAGCAACTCTTTCCATTTAGTGCTCAAGAGCTCTTTAGATTAAAAAAATTACCTTTATAAATCATGTGGGGGGCGGTTTGAGTGTTTTCAAGCATTCATGACTTGTTATATGATTCAGGCATATTGTACATAGAGTAAAAACGTACCCATTTCAATCATGTGTTGATATTTTTGTAACTTTATCAGTTGTACAACTCTCACCATAAACCACTTTCATAACATTTCTATCACTCCAATAAGATCCCCCTCATATCCATACGCCCATTTAAAGGTAAACCCTGTTCCCATCTCCAGATAACTGCTATTCTACTTTCTGTAGTTATAAATTTGCATTTTATGGACATTTCATATTAATAGAATTATATAATGTGTGGGCTCTTGTGCCTGGCTTTTTACTTAGTGTAATGTTTTATTTATTACACACACACACACACACACACACACATATACACATATCTGTATTGAATGGCTATTCCACCTTTTGGCTACTCTGAATAAGGTTATGAACTTTCACATTCAGGTCTTTGGACATGATTTTCATTTCTCTTGGATAAATTCCTCGGAGTAGAATTGCTTGATGTAAATTAACATTGCATGTATTTTTAACAAGTTCAGATTTTGTTTAACTTTTCATAAGTTGTAAATCACTAATGAACAATGTCACAAATTTGAAAACAAATATAGTTCAAGAGTAATAGAGCTAGCGGGAAAACAAGCATTTACTTTTCAGGCAAGCCTGTCAATACTGGATTTTTAAACTACTGAGGAATTTGGAATTTGAGTGCTGGAAAGGAACTTAGATTTTGTAAACCAAAGTTTTCACTTTGTAGAATATGGAAACTGAAGCCCAATAGTTGCGTGGCTTGCCTGAAGTCACAAATTTTATGTGTCAGACCCGGAATTAAACTCTGGTCCCTTTTTCCTAGTCTAGTGCTCTTTGCCTCCTATTGAGAAGAAACAGGAAGCCAGGCCTAGTTAGGGAACTGGCAGACTTCTGAATATTTTTTTTTAAAATATATTTTATTGATTTTTTACAGAGAGGAAGGAAGAGAGATAGAGAGTTAGAAACATCGATGAGAGAGAAACATCGATCAGCTGCCTCCTGCACATCTACTGGGGATGTGCCCGCAACCAAGGTACATGCCCTTGACCGGAATCGAACCTGGGACCTTTCAGTCCGTAGGCCGACGCTCTATCCACTGAGCCAAACCGGTTTCGGCCAGACTTCTGAATATTAATCCTCCTTCATCTCTAGAGTGTGGGCTCTGACATTACAAGTGTTACCTAGGCTCCTGGTGGTGTTGTTTTTTTTGTTTTAAATGTATTTTTATTGATTTCAGAGAGGGAGAGAGAGATAGAAACATCAATGATGAGAATCATTGATCGGCTGCCTCCTGCACGCCCCCTACTGGGGATTGAGTCCGTAACCTGGGCATATGCCCTTGACCAGAGTCGAACCTGGGACCCTTCAGTCCACAGTCCGATGCTCTATCCACTGAGCCAAACCAGCTAGGGCGTTTCTGGTGTTTTTAATTCTGTTTTTAACCTCTTTCTTAAGGTTGTTGAGAGAATTAACTGAGATAATGCATATAAAGCTCTTAGGATTGGGCTTATCCTACAAGTCATCGTTGAATATTAGCCATACCTTTTGTTCTGAAGTGGGGAGTTTGTGAGGGGAAAATCCTATCCAGATATCTCTAAAGTTAGGAGCGCTAACTTTCAATCTTAATAATAGAAAGCTAGTATATGTTATTTGTTTTGACAGGAGTGGACTGGTTTTATCTTTTGCTTTTAGGCTTGCATTCCCCTCAGTGTAGGTGCACATTTACTTTTAAAATAAATATGTTTTTGTTAATTTGGGAGAGAGGAAGGGAGAGAGAGAGAAACAATGTGAAAAAAATAGGGAGCGCTTCACGAATGTGTGTGTCATCCTTGCGCAGAAGCCATGCTAATCTCTATCTTCCCAATTTTAGTATATGTGCTGCTTAAGCAAGCACTGTGCACATTTACTTTGAAATCCACCATAATCCAATAAAGTAAAGTGAAGAGGCCAGTTATGAGACTTAAGATGAAATCTTGAGGTTACTACTCCTTGGGTGACCCATGATAGGAATGTCTCCATGTCATCGATTTCAAAGTTAAATATTGAAGATTTTGAAAAACAAATGTTATTAGAATAGACTTAAATTCTAGTTGAGGACTGAATGAGACTAAGGTAGATTTCTTTAACTTTATACAACAAATAAAGAGGTTAATATTACTTTATTTGTTCCTTCTCAGGTTGCAGGAACCAAAGAAAGATCTGATAGCCCGAGTAGTGAGTATTATTGGGAACAAAAAGGCAATTGAACTTCTGATGGAAACTGCTGAAGTAGAACAGAATGGTGGCCTTTTTATAATGGTAAGACTAAGAGCTTCATTGTTTTCATTTTTAATTGTGCTTAATATGACTTTTTTACCAAATAAAATTGTCTGTTGGATCATAAGTTACTGGTTTGAGATTTAAAAAAAAAACTTTGTTAACAATGAAAACTGAATAAAAAAGTAAGTATAGTCAGTTTTAATACTTAGAAAAAACATAACGTAAATTGTAGCCTGTTAGTGTGCAGACAACATACAAACCCTGAAGCTCGAATTTTAAGAATATGGATTTTGGAATTAAGGGGTTCATTGTTTTGAGTTCGGGTCTGCAGCTTAACTAGGTATGATATTTGGCTGAGTTGTTTGACTTCTCAGAGCCTCAGTGTCCTCAGCTGTAAGATGGCGATGAATGTGAGGATGAAATGAGATGATACACATGAGGCGCTTATCACCGTGCCCAGTACTTACTTAGCAGTGGATGAACAGAAGTGTTATTTTTGGTTTAATTCATGCATTCTTCAAAATTGGTTCTTGGGGACAAAAGGAAAAAAACCTTGTTATGTAAAAAGCACATCGTATATCTGTGAGTATTAAAATTTCATGGGTGGTGGGGGTGAATAGGAAAGTGTCTAAAGGCTCCTTGCAGTGGGGCAAACAATAATGGAAAAAACAGCTGAGAACACTTTACTGTTTCAGAATGGCAGCAAGAGCCCTCCTGGCAGGGGCCAGATCCCAGGCAGCGCCAGTTTATCCCATAGAATGATTTTGCAGATCTCACTTCACTCAGCTTTCACCTCCGCGTGAGGATGACGTTTGAATGGCTTCCTTATTTACTCCTCGGAAATCTGAATAATAACATCACAAGAGAGTAAATCAATATTATGCTGTGGAAACCAATTAGAATTGATAGCACTGGCTGAGGAAACAGACTGTGAACATAGATTACTGAAGTAAAAACTAAAACAAATTATAATAGACTGTACTGGCCCTTCTTTTGTGTCATTGTTAAAGTACTTTGATTTTCATTTAGTTGAGCACAAAGTTATAGGTTCATCAATGTTTTAATTCTATAGTAATGTAATAAAACTATATTCCAGCGAGCTAATGCAAATCTTGGGAAGATAGAAGTCCAAATTCACTTTCTTTTGATGCATTCTTTCCTTTTCTCACTGTCTGCCAGGCACTGTATTAGACACAGGAAGCTTATATTGTAGTGGGGGGGGAGGGTGGAGGAAGACAGTCTATGAAGAGTAAATAGAATATCTTTAAGTATATTAGACGGTGGTAAGTGCTATGGGAAAAGAACGATCAAAGGTAGGTACAGAGAGGCGAGGAGGACATTGCAGTTAAACTGGAGTGGTCAGGGTAGACCTCAGTATCTCCTTAGGCCAGCGGTTCTCAACCTGTGGGTCGCGACCCCTTTGGGGGTCGAATGACCCTTTCACAGGGGTCGCCTAAAACCATCGGAAAACACATATATAATTACATATTGTTTTTGTGATTAATCACTATGCTTTAATTATGTTCAATTTGTAACAATGAAAATACATCCTGCATATCAGATATTTACATGACGATTCATAACAGTAGCAAAATTACAGTTATGAAGTAGCAATGAAAATAATTTTATGGTTGGGGGTCACCACAACATGAGGAACTGTATTAAAGGGTCGTGGCATTAGGAAGGTTGAGAACCACTGCCTTAGGCACATCTCTGTTTACAAGATACTTTGGCCATTCATGAGAAGAGTCTATAAAGTATATTTTTTCTGTTTCTTTTTGTAGAACGGTAGTCGAAGAAGAACACCAGGTGGAGTTTTCCTGAATCTCCTGAAAAACACTCCTAGTATCAGTGAGGAACAAATTAAGGTAAAAATGATGATGTTCTTGACTTTTCAGATCCATAATAACTTGACTTCTATTCAGCCTCTAACTTCATTTTTTAAAATTATATATATATATTTGATATCAGAGAGGAAGAGAGAGATAGAAACATCAATGATGAGAGAGAATCACTGATTGGCTGCCTCCTGCATGCCCCGCAATGGGATCAAGCACACAACCTGGGGCATGTGCCCTGACCGGGAATCGAACCGTGATCTCCTGATTCATAGGTCGACACTCAACCACTGAACCATGCCGGCTGGGCCCCTAACTTCATTTTCTACTAATCTTCATCACTTGCTTTGTCTTAAATTGACTAATTTTGTCATAGTCTCATTTCAAGTGAAACCTGTGCCTTTTGTAAAGCTCCACCTCTTTCTTCCCTTTCAGAGCCAAGACCAAGATTTCTTTTATGGCATCTTTTCCTGGTTTCTTAGCACGTAATTATTTCCTACCCTCCTACAACTATTATTGAAGAATTTTAAACATGCAGAATAAATGAAAGAATAGGATGAATACCCATATATCCTCCACCTAGAGTCACGGGTTGTTGATAGTTTAACAGTCTTACTTTACAATTTTTTGGTACCATTTGGAAATAAAATCATGACACTCATCCCTAATTACTTCAACAAGCTTCTCTCAATAATAAAGACAATATCCTACATAGGCATACCTAAGAAAAATAAAACGATTTCTTAGTTTCATCCAACTTCTAGACTACTCCTATATCCTGAATTGTCCCAAGAATCTATTTTCAACTCTTTTCTCCCTCCAAAACAGGATCATGTCCAGATTTCCACATTCCATTTTCTTACATCTTTTGCTCTTTTTAGTCCCATATTTACCTCCATGATTTAGACCTTTTGAAGAGTCTTAAAGAATGTACATTCTGGTGATTGTCTCCTCATGGGTTTGTTTTGTTCATCCCTCCAACATTTCTTATAAACTAGAAGCTAGGCACTTCAGTATTCTTAATCATTTTTGTGTTACTAGAATGTCTTCTATGGGAATTTACAATGTGGGTGTTTGGTAGCTCAAAATTTGATATCTTTTGTTAATTAAGGAACATGATTTTCATTTAGCAGATATATTTGAGTCTAACTTCTTACATTGGAAAAATGTGTGCACATGCAACACAGCTGCTATATATATATATATTTTTAAATATATTTTTATTGATTTCAGAGAGGAAGGGAGAGGGAGAGAGAGATAGAAACATCAATGATGAGAGAATCATTGATCGGCTTCCTCCAGCACGTCACACCCTGGGGAACAAGCCCACAACCTGGGCATATTCCCTGACTGGGGATGAACAGTGACCTCCTGGTTCATAGGCCGACGCTCAGCCACTGAGCCATGCCAGCCGGGCCATGCCTGCTATATTTGAGAAGTGTTGTCGTCTCTTTATTACTACAGTGGGTAATAAAATAGGAATATGTTGTAGCCATACTAATTATAATGTCAATGATGAATAAATAGCCATTTTTCTTGAGCTGATGTGAGCATATTTTGCATGTTCCATGTTGGTTTTTTTCCCTTAGGTTTTCTGCCTGTTCACTTCCGAGTCACTTTTTAAAGATCTGTTATTGAAATTACTGTTGTTGCACATTTGAAATCTCTAGTCAGTAACTGCTTTCTTCCTTATTGGAACAGTTATTTTGATAACATAAATTTGTAACAATGTAAATTTCCTTAGGAGTGGTAGAACAGTTTAAACCTTAATGTTCTCCCTACTCCCTCAATATAATCTCTGACAAATAATGTGTAGTTAGAAGGAAATTCTTGGGTTTTCATTAAATAACAAAATGTTAATCTTTTCAGAGAAATAGCATGATGTGATGAATAGAATTCTCTAAGATTCAAAGTCTAGGTTTTAATCTTAAATATGCCATTTAGTGGTTATATGACCATGAACAATTCTCTCTTTGCCTCCATTTTCTCATCTATAAAGTGGGGACTTTAATATGTGCTCTGCTTATTTAATAGGGCTATGAAAGGATTCAATAAAATATCTAGAAAAGATTTCTGTACCTAAAACTTGGGGCAAACTTTCCAGAAACAAGAAAGAAGAAAATAGCATTTATTCATCCTTAGCTTGGTATTGGGCCAAATATTTAAATGGCTTTATCTTTACCACAGACTTTCAAAGTGGGTGTTATCCTGTTATGCAAATGAAAAGTAATAAAAATGATATGCCTGGGATCACACAGACACTGACTGGCTTTAAACCTATGTTTTTTTTAAACCTATGTTTTCACCGAATCACATGTCTTCTTTTTTTTCTTTTAATTCATTGTAGAGAAGGGGATTTTAATGTTAGTTTTTAATGTTAAATTACCGGAAACATTGCATTATAATAACAAACAATAGAAGTCTTTAGAATATCCAATAACAGAGTATTGTCGACTTCTTTTTTATTTTATTTTTTGATTTCAGAGAGGAAGGGAGAAGGAGTGATAGAAATATCAACGATGAAGAGGATGATTGATTGGCTGCCTCCTGCATGCCCCCCATTGGGGATCAAACCTGCAACCCGGGCATGTGCCCAGACTGGGAATCGAACCATGATCTCCTGGTTCATAGGTCGACACTCAACCATTGAGCCACCTTGGCCAGGCTGTGGGAACATTCTTAAAAGGATTATGCTAGCCCTAGCTGGTTTGGCTCAGTGGATAGAGCGTCAGCCTGTGGACTGAAGGGTCCTGGGTTCGATTCTGGTCAAGGGCACATGCCTGGGTTGCGGGCTCGATCCCCAGTAGGGGCCGTGCAGGAGGCAGCTGATCAATGATTCTCTCTCATCATTGGTGTTTCTCTCTCTCTCCCTTTCCCTTCCTCTCTGAAATCAATAAAAGTATATATTTAAAATAAAAGAATTATGCTATAGCCTCTATTTTTGTGAAGCAATTTTAAGGAAATGAAAAAAGTACAATAATACTAAATTTTTTAAAGAGGCAAAATTCAAATTTATAAAGAAAAAGAGGCATGGGACAATAGATAGGTATGTAAAACATCAAAATGTTACCAATGATTTGATCTATTGTGAGGGATTATAAATGTTTTGGCTTTTAAGATTTTTCTGTGTTTTTTCAAATTTTCTGTATGTGCACAGATTGAGTACCTTTGTTATTAGAGGAAAAAACCTGAAAGCAAATAGAATTTTATTGCAGGTAATTTCATATGCCATCCAGATGATGATGTTATAATTATTCTTTTAATCGCTATATTGCTAACAATCATAGTCTGCAAAAGTTGGAAGCAGAACTAAACTGAGTGGGCTTGCTTTCCTTGTTGCCATTTGATTTTGTTTTGTATGAGACCTTGTACTTTTTTTTTTTTAACTTCTTTGAGAATTGGTATGGTTGTTTTTTTTTTTTCTTGACATATATTTTTAAAAATTATTTCAGAGAGGAAGGGAGAGAAAGGATAGAAACATCAATGATGAGAATCATTGGCTGCCTTCTGCATGCCCCCCACTGGGAATCAAGCCAGCAACCCGGGCATGTGCCCTGACCAGGAATCGAACGGTGACCTCCTGGTTCATAGGTCAATGCTCAACCATCGAGCCATACCAGCTGGGCTGTACTTTTAATTTTTGGTTTAGAAAATACAAAGTCAGGTGTACTGCTAAACATTCTACAATACATACAACAGACTGCCACAACAAAGAATTATCCAGCTCAAAATTTCAGTAGTGTCAAGGTTGAGAAACTCTACCTGGAATGTGTTACAGTGCTGTGTTATTTTTGTGCTTTTTTTTTTTTTTTTTTTAAATATATTTTATTGATTTTTTACAGAGAGGAAGGGAGAGAGATAGATAGTTAGAAACATCGATGGGAGAGAAACATCGACCAGCTGCCTCTTGCACATCTCCCACGGGGGATGTGCCCGCAACCCAGGTACATGCCCTTGACCGGAATCGAACCCGGGACCTTTCAGTCCGCAGGCTGACGCTCTATCCACTGAGCCAAACTGGTCCTGGCTATTTTTGTGCTTTGTGATAAAAGTTTTTGACAAAGACTTACATTGTCACATGTGAATTACAGTCATGTTTTTTTAAGCAATGGAATTGTTCTTGCATTGTGTAGGTTACATCATACTTAGTGACACAATTCAGGAATGGCTCCGTTTCTTAGCATATGATTATGATGGTATTTCAAAATAAATCTTTACTCCAAAGACTTCTGTTTTGTCATGATGAATTATATTTCGTTTAAATGCTAAACAACATGGTTTTCCTACAGTATGTTGCCAGTTAGAACCCTTAAACTTTAGAGATGATGTGTTATGGTATAATACGCATGGGCCCTAGGCCGAACACTAGGTTGAGTTTGAATCAGCTTCATCCTCTTCTTGCAGTCGGGACTTAATATCTTGGACTCTGTGTACAATTATGAGTCTAATAATAATGGCTTGTTTTTTTGTGAGAAATGGGGATAATGTAAAGGGTCTGCCTTGTAATAGACTTTTAATACATGGTAGTTCTTATTTACTAAAGTTGTGCCTTTATTATAGGACATTTTCTACATTGAAAATCAAAAGGAATATGAAAATAAAAAAGCTGCTAGGAAGAGGAGAACACAACTGCTGGGGAAGAAGATGAAGCAAGCTATTAAAAGTCTGAATTTTCAAGAAGATGATGATACATCACGAGAAACTTTTGCAAGTGACACGAATGAGGCCTTGGCCTCTCTCGATGAATCACAGGAGGGACATGGAGAAACTAAGTTGGATGTAGAGGAAGATATTGAGGTTGATCATTCTCATGATTTAGACATTTTTTAGTACATTTGAGGAATAAACCCTCCTAAAATAATATTGTAATAAACCATTTCTACTGAATTGCTTTGTTTTACTTTGCACTGATTAACATGAATATCTGGAGAAAAAGATCTGTTTTTTTGTTTTAAATGAAATTGAATATGGGCGGAGATGAATGAGATTGGTAGAAACTTTTGCATTTTCTTGTGTCTGACAACATACTTAAAAGTATATAGCTGAGAATTTAATTTCTCGATCTGTTGCATGTGCTATGACTAGTTGATAATCAGTTTTGTCCAGGTCATTATAACATGCCATTCAAAAGTTTGTTTTCTTTTTCCTATTTATCTTTGCAGTGAATTATGACTGGTTTCAATACATTCCACTAAAAGATCCTACTAAGACATAAATTGTTAAACTATTTATTACAAATGCATCCAAATTTAGTATGTCTGTGTTTGAAGAACTCTTAGGCTATTTTAAGGATAGTGATTAAAATTCAATTATGTTTATTCTGATGGGCTTTCCCACTTGTTTGTCCAGAAGTAAATAAATAGCAGAAGCTTTTCACAGATGTATTGATTCATAACTTAACTTTGGTTTGTTTGTCTTTTTTATTTTATTTTGTTTTTGACTTATTAACTTGGTCATACACTAAATACTGAATGTGATCCATACCTGTGTAATTAATTACTATGGATATTTAAAATGTTTTCAGTGGTGGCCTGCCTGTTTTACCTTATGTTAAGGAAGTATTAAAAATATCACATCTGCATGGCTTTTCCAAGTATTCATTTTTATGAAAGGAATAAACCTTCCAAAGGTAGGTTACTTAAGATGTTCCAAGAATTGATAGTTTATAAAATAGATTAAGCAAAAATATCTAGGAAGTGATTACAAACTATTCTTTTTAGGCAATGTACTTAAACTCAGTCATTCCTGAAATAATGGTCATTGAAGTTGGATTTAAGAATCCAAGTGGGAAAAGAAAAGGAAAATGGTTATTGGTTGCTTTTTATTCATAAAGAATGCAAAAATAAAATTAGTATTGGCAGTCCTTAATGAGATTCAAGTGACTATTCTTTTAAATATATTTTTATAGTTGATAGTATTACAGATATCTCTTATTTTTCCTTCCTCCCAGCCCCTGTGACTTTATCTTAATCTCAAATATTCTTTCATAAAATTATTATAACCAAGGAAAGGAAAATACTTTAAATCGGTAACTGGATATTGGCTCTGAGATTATTTCTTAGAGGTTATTTTAAAGGTACAGTACAATTGGAAAGATAATTGACACTCAGAAATCTAAATCCCACATAGTCATATAAAGCTGATTTTTCTAGTGAAAGTTACGGTTTTTGAAGGGCATTAATACCTGAAAGGTTACTTTATCTCCATTAAATGGATTGTTCACCTTCCTCGTTAATTTTCTTTAATAGTTTCTTTAATATTTGGAAACCACACAAATTTCCTGCTTGTATCACACCCTAATATATAGAAACTAATATTTTAATTTTTAAGGTTCCTAAAGTTTTGCCTATTATTTCCCTTAACCTTTCTGTGTATCCGGATCTAGGGATACTTGTCTAAACTTGCCAGATATGTATTTAGTTAACAATAAACCAGCCGGTATTTTGCACTAACATTTTTCCTACTAGCTGCCCAGTAGGGTTGACAATAATAACCCTCCCCCACTCTGTTCTAGTCATTTAGATGCTCATCCTCACTTGTAATCTTTCTTCATTAAAGTGAGTTTGTAATCTAAAATACAGTGTAACTCGAATATTCAGGGATAAGATGGGTTGGATTGGTTTGGGTTTAAGCAAATTTGATTTACACTCAAAGTGTATGTCTAAGTAATGGTTTAATGTAAATGGGACACAACCATATGCAATATATAAAGAGGAAAACCAGCTAAAGACAATATTATGAAGTGATTGTGAATAATAATTTAGTCCAGTACATGTTCCAGTATGTTTGTCAGATTTGTAGTGTCTGCAAACAGTCACATTTTTAAATTGCTCATGATAAGAATGAAATTTTACTCAAGAAGGGACATAAATCCCACCTCCTGGGCTGGGCTCCATCACCCTATTTGGTCATTGGAGGGCAGGAGGTCAGATGTGCAGAAGGGCAGCTCTGGTTAATGCCATCGCCACCTTGGTTGGGTACCTACGAGATCGTG